CCCTGAGGCCAGGTATACATCCCAAGGTGATTAGAGTGAAGAGGAGACTGTTACAGTATACTTAGAGGCCATTGAGGATGGATACAGAACTCTGTAGAGTCCCATTGAGGGAAAGCTATTTGCTCCTAGCCAAGAGAATGCACTATTCCTCTGGTCTTGGGTGGAGACTTAACATCATAGAAAATAACATTGTGATCTACTCCAAAGACTAGCACATTACATACTGTTGTTTTCCCCTGTCAGAGTTAATCCAGATGGGCCTGTCAATCACCTGGCCAGGAGATCTCCTCTCATGGAGGCTGATTCACTTAAAGCCATGCCAAAGAGGTGAGAAGAATAATTGTTTCTGTAATGAGATAATGCACTTATCTCCCCAGAAGCCTTGGCTTCAGCCACTTGAAGAGCTTCCACAAGGCTGATGTGTGGCTTTTCTGTCACGTGGCCTCTCTGCTTTTCTGAGTTTCAACTGAAAAAAACCAAGTGTAACTTCGTTCTTTTCCTTTTCCCCTTTTCATATACTGGTCAAGGGCTGGGAACACTCTCCCTGGCATTCAAGGCCTTCGTACTCTTCTTGTAAAGCTTTTTCCCAGGCCTTCTTACAAATGCCACAGTGTTTTTCTTCTTCTTCATCTCCTCCTGCTGGAAAGATCCAGGATTTACAGTTGCCTGCCCTGTTGTAGTTCTCTGAGAGAGTAATACATTTCTCCTTGAGGAACCTAAGAGATTCATACAAGGTCCCCCACAGAAAGGGAAAGAGACAAGATCTCCTGGGCATATTGGGGGCTGGGGAAGGGGCAGTGAGTGTAGAAGGAGTTAGGAGAAAGAGAAGGGGAGGAGAGGAGAACATGTGGGACCAGAGAGATTGAGCCAGGGAAAGAATAGAGGAGAGCAAGAAAAGAGATACCATAATAAAGGGAGCCATCATAGGTTTGAAGAGAAAACTGACTCTAGAGACCTACAAGGATGACCCCAACTATCAATCTGAGCAAAAGTGGAGAAGCTACCTTAAATGCCCTTCCCTGATAATGAGATTGATAACTAATTTATATGCCATCATATCATAGTTTCCCCTTCTAGTACCAGCATTGGACCAAGTCAGATCCCCTGAACATGGGCTTCAATTAGAAGGCCTGGGCAGTTTAAGGGACCTCTAACAGTGGAACCAGGATGTATCTCTGGTGCATGAAAGGACTTTGGGAGCACATTCCCCATGGAGGATACTCCCTTAACCTAGAGACAGGAGGGAGGGCCTGGGCCCTACTCCAAATGACTTGACAGATTTTGATGATCCCTCCTGGAAGGCCTCACCCTCCCTGTGGAGAGGGTGAGGAATGGGATGGGAGAAGGAGTGAGGGGAATGAGAGGATGGGGAGGAGAGGGAACTAGAGTCAATATGTAAAATAAAAAAATTATTAATAAAAAATGAAAAAAATTAATTTCTCCTTGAGCTTTATTTTCAGTTTTTATTTTTTATTATTAATGAGATAAAGAAATGATCTCCAAATTGTCCTGTGACAATAGGAAGAATCTTGTCTTTTAAAGATTTATTATTATGTGCATTGGTATTTTCCCTGAGTGTATGTCTGCGTGAGGGTACTTTATCTCCTGGAACTGGAGTTACAGACAGTTTGAGCTGCCATGGGGGTGCTGGGATCAAACTTGGGTCCTTTGGAAGAGTAGCCAGTGCTCTTAAACACTGAGCCATTTCCCCAGTCCTGAAGAATCTCTCTCTCTCTCTCTCTCTCTCTCTCTCTCTCTCTCTCTCTCTCTCTCTGTCTTTGGTATGCCAGCTGCATACCAAAGACTGGTAATTGACTGGTAATCTCAGAGCTGAATTAGAGCAAAACCATACTAAACCACCTGGAACCATCTAGAAGCCTAGAAGATCACTAACTGTCCTTTGCTTCATTATAATAAGATGTCTGTATCTTTACACTTGCAAAACTATCTGTTCTGTTCATTCATGTGATGTCATCAGAAAACATGTAAGGGCAAGAAAAATAAGATGTTGTATGGTGCTTTTTCCTCTGGGTACAGTGGAGTACTATTGGACTTTGCCCCTGGTAACCATGGCAATAGTTGAAGGGCCTGTGGTAATGACACTCCCTCCACAGTAAAAGGAGAAAGGGAGGTCTCACCTGAGAAAGAACTTTCACCTGAGACTCCAGCTTTCCTTTCTCTGTTCCCTCCCTCTCACAGCTCTAAGGGATTTGAGGGGATCTAAAAAGCACAAGGTTACTTGAAAGCAGGCTCTACCATGCAGTCTCCATGAGGTGGTGGGACTTTGCTGCTGTGTGTGTGCTGCTGTTTAAAACCCCTCACCTGTGCTCTGTAAGAAAACCCAATGAACTCACTAGTATCAAGTTGAACTTTAATGAAATCATCATAATCTAGTCTGCTGTTAGTGTCCCCATAGGTGATCTGATGTTTGTCTGTGCCCCCTCAGAAAAAATTAAGGCAACAAAGGGTTAACCCAGTAACCCAATGCATTCCTAGAATTCCAAATCTTCTTGCCTTACCTGATAATTCTTTCCCTTTAAAGTTTGCCAGAAGGAGCTATCCAAATCTCTGCCACTCATACCCAATGAAGAACCCCATTCATGCTAGATAAATTCTGTAAGCTACAGCCACATCCTTGCACCTTTGTCTTCAGATAACCACAATCCCCTCTTAAATGTGCACTTTGTCCTGTAGTAAATGTTCTCTCCATTCTTTATTCTGTTTCATCTTTGGTTGTTTGCTTATTTCATTACTAGTGACACAAACTGGGAAACAGTGGGTAGAAGCCTCAATTTGCTTTCTGAACATGAGAATAAGTCCCCCCCATACACCACATACACACACTGTTCACCACCAGTAAAAATGGGGATTTACATCACAGGACACTTAGTCTGAGGCTTTTATAGCAAATTTGTGGGTCTTTGTATATTTGATTGGAGAAGTCACAGGGCTCTCCTGATATGAAAATGCATGCTGATCATTGCAGTTTTGTCTGTCTGTAATAGTGAGAAGATGACCGAAAGGCTCATCTCTGGGTGAAGGGTAAGTCTAATACAAATCACTGGGGAGTGCTATGTGATACTTACAAGTCTTGCTTTCCACAAAATAATCCCATAAACATTGAAAACACTATTTTTGTTTCTTTAAAAAAAATGAGTAATTTGAATCATGTGATCTCTTCTTATTTGTTTCTTTGATCCTTCAAGGTGACTACAACAAAATCACACTGCATGTTACTTATGCTAAAAAAACAAATCACAGTGTCTCTTTGTTAATGGGCACATCCTCTTTAATCAAGTGCAACCCTGGATTTGAAGTGTTGATTTGGCTGTGAGAATGATTACGTTTGCTTGTGATGTCTATAATTACAAGTGATGAGGATAAGTTTGTTGATGAATGATGTTATGCTTGCATAAACATTGCCTCGTGGCAATACATAGATTGATAGAAATGGGTTAATAATTAAGACAGAGCTAGCCATTAAGAATCCCTAGTCATTGGCCAACAGTTTCATAATTAATATAGCATCTGTGTGTTTATTTGGGGTTCAAGGGCCATCAGACCTGCAAAGAATCTTTCTAACAGAAGGGTTTAACTAATCAGTTCCAATCTGGTAACTTTTTACTCAATAAAAGACCAATAATTTTGGCATAATTGTCTTGTTCCTTTAAATATTACTCAATAGACGATGCCATAATATCTATGTTACTTATTTTAAATATGGTATAAGCCCTTGGCCTTGAGAAGGTTTTACACTATACTTCTATTTTTTAAGTAAAGGAAATCCATGTGGTACAGCATTAGTAAATGATTGTTATATGTGACAAGGAACTGTAGAAGGCAAAAGAAGTGAGAATCAAGAAATTTGGACACAGTGTTAGCTTTGTGATGAGTAGTGATTTCAGGGAAATTACTTAAACTTCAGTTTCCTAATGTGTAGTTACAATAAAGGCCAGCTTTAAAGATACATTCCAGCTACACAATGAAGAACATTAAACTTCTTTCTGTGCAGTGATTTCCAGGACAACCTAAGTTAAAGACTATTATTCATGAAAGACTAGGCATAGAGACTGGTGTATTAAAAGAAAAATAATGGAAGATTTCCTTTTGCCTGTAGAACGAGTGAGCGTATGTGAGAAGAAAGACAACAGTAGCTGGACAGACCCGGTCTTGCTAAAATTGCTATACTGAGCGGATGACCACATACAGTAATCACTGACTCATACTGCAAGTGTTAAGCTAAACATTGAGTGCTAGGACATATCTAGAGAATACGGTTTGGACACTGTATGGCATTAAACAGTGAGACATCACAGGCTACAGGACACCAGCTCACTGTTCTTTCTATACTGTGCCTCCATTATTTGGACCCAAAAGATAAAATAGCCTCCAGGCCAGACTTCATGTTGTGGTGTTCCTCTCACCACTCACCCCAGATCAGTCAGAGAAGACCTTTGTCTTACTCTTTGCATGGTACGTATCTCACTGGTTACTGGGCTGCCCAACTACTGATTCAAAAACATAGGGACATTTTATTGTTTCTACAGATATGTGGCTGAAGGAATATAGTACAGGAGTCAATTTATTGTTACTCAATAAGAAGTACTTTAGTTGGGACTTAAAGTGAAAATCTCACAGTTTCCTGCCCCCATACCAGTCTATCATGACCATGTCCCCTGGAGATTTTTAAATCATCTATTAATAAGCTAATTGCTCAGATCCAATCCATCAGCTAACAGACTTACTTACATGATAAAACCACAACTGTCTGCCTGTGGTACAGAGCAGACGCCACGTGTGTATTTTTTTCTTACCATTTCTGTATTTGGGACACTTCCTCTACTCTTGCATGTGAGCTACTCCTCATTGTGGATATTATTGTAGATTTTTTAAAATCTCTACATTTACATCAGAATGAGTGAAACAAGGTCTCAATCACAGAAATATAAGAACTATGGTACCTCATTCTTTAATTCTTAGAAATCATCTCTGGTACTCACATCAACAATCAAGAAGTCCAGCCAGCACCAGGCATTGGTGAAATAGGTTTGAAACCCATAGGCCACCCATTTGAGAAGCATCTCCAGGATGAAGATGTAGGTGAAGACCTTGTCAGCATATTCCAGCATGGTCTTGATGGTCTTTCGCTGCTCGATATATATGTCTTCAAAGGCCTGTGAATCAAGCCAGCTTTATTTACCTTAATAGCCTGCTTACTTAAAATACTTAAAAAATATTTTTAGTTTAATATCAAGAACCAACCAACATCTAGGATCACACAATTTTTTTTTTAATCAGACAGAAGTTAAAGGCCAAAGCTAGCTGAGGAATATTGGCAGAGGAATATCAACATCTTTAGTGATTGCATATGTGCTTTTTATCTCTACTTTTCAGCCAAAAGTATCTATATCAGTCACAGCAAAAAGACATGTGTCAGCTCATGGAAGGTGAACTAGAGCTATTCATTTCATAAGGGATAGGATTGGATAGCATTCCAACAATATTTTCTGTGATTCCATTGCTCATTTTCAGAGAATAAGTTTATTGAACTTAAAGAAAGCAAGACACACAGATAATCCATTAGTAGTCATTAAGACAGACTGTGTGACATTTGACTGGGATGCTGGCACAGCCAGGGGAATGTCTTTACAAATGGTGTATCCCCGAGAAAAATACCTGGTGAGAAAACGCCAGAGATGAAGTTAGTTCTGATTGCTTCCTGGCTGTTGGAGAATATTCCTTTACACTGTGTAAAGATGTGTCACTGTGATTTGTTTATAAAAAGCTAAATGGTCAATAGCTGGCCATGATTATAGCAGGGACTTTTGGACAGAGAGAGCTCTGGGGAGAAGGAAGGAGGTCTCCAGGCAGATGGGGAGGAAGCAGGATAGAGAGTGCAGAGTGAAGGTAACTGGGCCACATAAAAAAGTGTAGCTTAAAAGATATGGGCTAATTTGAGTCATAAGGACTAACAGGATAAGCCTAAGCCACTGGCCAGGCTTTTATAATTAAATAAAAGTTTCCATGTCATCTTTTGTGAACTGGTGTCCAAAGAAAATGCCTGCTGTACATGGTTCTGACTTGCTTTGAACAAAAGTTTGTGGAGACTTCCCACTCATGCATGGCACAGAAACACCTATTCTTTGGAATCCAAGATTGAGTGGGCACTTTCAGCATTTCCAGAGAGTCAGTTACTTCCCTCGAACCTGGTCCTCGCTAGTCCACATTCACTTACCAAAGCACCACTGCTGAGAAGAATCATGAAGACAATGAATGTCTCAAACCAATTGTGTTCCACAATGCTGTAGCAAGTCTTCCTCAGATTCCACCAGATCTTCCCTTTGCCTTCTTCTGTACTTACTTGGCAGAAGGGAAATTTTTTAATACACCCTAAAAAAACCATTAATACAACAAATTAAGAAAATTATACTTCGATCATTAATATGAAAAAATAACATGTTTTTACATCTTCCTCACCCCAATTCCAGTTCATCATTTTATAGGTAACTGGCTGCTTTATTGACTATTGTTGTTTCAACACTCTTCAATTTAAGGAGACATACTTAAACATACAGACTTAGAATTTATGGAATTTCTGTACATTCGCTTGAGTTAAAATGTTATTATTATTTTTTTTTAATGCAAGTTAGAAATCTTTGTACCTTGAGGCCACTAGGGAAAACAGAGTCATTTTTTCATCTTAGTAGTTTGGAAGAAAAGCTAGATATGCAAGTTTTTATTCATAATTCCATGTGACCCTGGGTTTTTACTCCCTTCTTTTCAAGGGCAGAAAATCCCAGGTGTCAGTCACTGTTAGTTTTCTCAAGCTAATTTATATTCGGCATTAGTGCTTTCCTTAGTCACACCTATGACTCACTTTGCAGTTCTTCTCTGCTTCCTAGGACTTCATATGATTTCTAGTTTCTGTCTAATTTATTGCTCTCTCTTAGCTACTACTTGCCATATTGACTACAATCACAATGAGTCAATAAACCTTTATTGATTTCTGTGCAAGATGAGTTGATCACTATTAGAATGGCATGGTAGCATGCCAACATTCTACAAGAGCACCATCTCCACTCCTCTGTCCAGAGCATAAGTTAACCAAATATGAAACTGGGAGAAATGGGTTATAATCATTGCAGCATCTATAAACAAAGTTACCCCACTCCCTGCACATTTTGAAGGGATCGCTGTGTGAATGTTATGACATTGCAGAATGCCACACATCTTAGATGTTATTATATTCTGGAGGATATAGACACCAACAGCAAAACAGAACAATGAAAACAACATATGCACATAGCACACTTTTTCATTCATCCAGACATGATCACTATTGTAGTCTAGTCTGGAAATTGAAGATCTGAGGCAATTTAAGACAGAGTTGTTGGAGGAAACAGGGAAAACAAAAGTAAATATGGCCTTACCATTTCTTTACATGTTTCTTTTAAATAACAGCTATCCAGATTCTGTAAAGATGGGGCATTTCAACATGTTAGAATCTCTTTACCTTCAGTAAAGCAAGCTTCTGGTTTAAGGTCTTCCTCAGGTTCAATTTCAGCTTGTTCACCTTCTCGGGGTGGAGCAACATCAACTGTGCTTCCTTCAGAAGAACTGGTTGCATTTAATTTCTGGAAACAAAGCCATGTCAAAGATGTGAATCTCCTCCTTTTTAATCAAGCAATTGGGAGACACTCTGTCACATGTGGGAAATGGCACTGACTATATGTGACACCATTGATGATGATGCACTAGTGACATTGACATGAGAAACCTCAACTCTTCAGACAGAAAGGACAGTGGTTAGTGTAGATGATGTGGAAAGACAGATAGACTTGCTTTAGAATCTTCACTTGTGCATTGATGCAGTGTTCAAACAACTGTGAGTACTCCAGCCACATCAAGAAGTCAGTCTCACAAGGTTGATTATGCTCACATCTACTAATGAGTATTTTAACTAAAGGCATCAAACCAGATCACAACTCCCACCTCTTTAGATGGAAAGTTTCAGAGGGCAAAGAACACTGTCAGTTGCTTCCAAGTACTGTCCATGTTTCTGTAATTTTAGCAAGGCAGGGCTACAGGTTAACATCAATCACACTCATTATGGCTCAGATTTGAGCTATATTTTCTCTAGCTTACATAATTTTCTCCCTACTTTACTAGCAGAAAATGATGGATCTCCCCCTCTCATTCTTTTTTGAACTGCATAAATGAATTCAACACTTGCCAAAGAATTCTAAATGAAATGGAAATTTCTCCACAAATGACATTGTCTGGAATCTTTATTAGGAGCTCATTCTGAATGCAATGTATGATCAGGCTGTAAATTTTCCCTTTAAATAAATCATTGTGACATGACACATGGCAAGAATAGCCACCTTAATATTGTCAGAATAAATATCTAATGCATTTTCTGAGATCATGTGGGAAGACATCACGAATGTGCAATGTTTTATGAAAACTGAGGCAAAGGCATGACATATAGCAAGGCTCAGGGGATGTAAAGCTTTTAGGGTGGAAGGGAAGCTCACAGACATGCTAATGGTTTCAAAGCTCCATTAATTTCAGTGGCTAAGTGTTTGGGTCACACTGCGCTGGCCTTTGGAAACAGTTAATGTGCTATTCTAAAAAGGCCTAAATGACTCCCTTAACACAAGTTCTTTTGGGAGAAATTTGGCTCATCATTCCTGGCTTATCTGAAATTCCAATGCCAATATGATTTTAGTGTTTTGTGATGTGAGCTAAAGTTTAAGAGTGATGCTAGTACTGTGCTTTCTGTGTTGTTATTGTGAAGGCTACATTAGCCATACCCAACTAAGTATATAAAGAAAATAGCTTTCAGTCAAAATGTAATTCAATATATAGACCCTCCAAGCATAGAGAAGCAGGGAGATACCTAGTCACTGTGGGCTGATGACTCTTAGGATTGTTACAGAATATTAAATTTTGCCATCACATTCCTTTACTTTTGGAAATGTGGGAAAGCTGAGACAGAACGTTTCTGCTTATTTCAACTAGGATATTTTTATTCTTAAAAAAGGAAAAGCCTAAGAAAGCTGCCACTTGGAATAGTTGTAGCAGCTTCTGTTGTAATGAAGGGAATACTGAATAATTGGTATCAGCAACTCAGCTTCACAAGTGGCTGATAGAGTGAATGCTATGGTTTTTGATGAGTGAGTGCAATTACACCACTGCACAAACAGGTAAACAGTACTGATAAGAAACCAAAGTATCGTTGGTTTCAGAGATTGATCACGAAAAGGTTCATTTTAATCATTTTCCTCTTGGCTAACCAGGCTCAATAATATTCTTTGATCACGGTCATGGTCCACCTCCTCCGTGAATTCTTCCTTACATGAGTGTCTCAGTCAAATTCACACTACATTTAGCCTATTACACTTATTGCCTTTGGCCAAATATGCCCATTTATACATGTGCATGAGTATTGAGAGAGAGAAAAAACACTCTCATACATATACTTACACATATAGACCAAGCACACATACTTCTTGTATATCAAATGATCAAATATAGGAAATAAATCAACCAAACATGGGAATATATACTAAATCTTTATGTTGCTTTCCTGAAGAGTGAGTAAATGAATGCATTTTATGTTACTCTTATAGAGAGAATTATGATGTTTAGATAAATTTGTATGTGCTTTCTGATAAATTATGTGAATAAATTGATTTTTATGAAGTCTATATTAGAAAATTCTTTTTATTGAATATAAATGCTTCAATATTAAAAACATATTTTCAAAGTGTTTTTCTATAATATCAGCAGACTTTCAATGAAGAAGTTTAAGGGGAGAATATTATAAGTATTATGTACAAAATACATGTATATATGCTTTCTCATGTAAAATTTTTAGAAAATATACTTACCCTTTACTTCTATTTTACCAATGGCACCATGTTTAATTTTCAATTAAATTATCTCACCTATGCTACTTTGGCATCTTGTATTTAAATACAAATATTTAAAATAGTGCCTCTTAGCACAGATAATATTAACTACTAACATGGATGTCTCATTTGACTAGTGTGAACCTCCTGATATAATTTTGCTCTTGTGTTCCCTTAAGATGATAAATATATGGTTATACCAACAAGCTTGGATATCATAACATCTATGTCCAGTTAGCCCTAGAGATAATACTTTTGGATCTTAGAGTAGGGAGAAAAGTGTTCCATTAGTCCACTCTATCTCCTAGTGCTCTGAGTTTTATCATGACTTTACAATGGTGAGGAAAAGCCCTTGTCCTCTTTCCATTCTTGTCTAAAGAGCAAAACTTAAGTGGGTGGAAAACTCCTTTATTTAAGATGTTTTCTGGTTGTTAAACTTCTTAAGCTTCAGTCTGGGAAGCTTCCCACAGAATGTTCAGAGGGCTTCTTACAAGTCCTTAGGACCTTCACAAACCAAAGTAGAATGATGGTGTACTAGTGTCTATCTTAGGGTTTTTAATAGACTTCTTCTCTGTGAGGGTTGGCACAGATCAGCTTTCACATGTCAGCTGTGCTGAGGTGTCATTGGTGAGCAAGACTACAACACTGTTTGAACCTCTTAGGTCAGATTTTGGTCATAAGAAAGTGTGAATACTTTATTCCATGAAACTATGAACATCTTGTGTAAACTACTTGGAAACTTCAAAGGTAGCGATTTTACTTACATAGTAATTGAAACCATGAATTGAGTTCTGACTAAGTGACATCAATTGCCCAATATACTATCTGGTATTCTTGAGTCGCTGGACACATGAAGAAATTCACACCTGCACTTTAAAATCACTAATTTACATTCTAGAAAATTAAGTGCTTTGTATTCTATAAACTCAACCGATACTGATTCCACACATCATTACAGTACAAATAATCTACATACAAAACACTATAGAATTCATACTCTAGAAAAGGGTTAAATTCTTATCGCTATTCCAAAATGACTACCAGATTAACTGAAAAGTATATGATTCATTTAAAAGCAGTGACTGATGATAAGTACAAAGGAAAACTTACTTTCTTTTATATTGCCAGAGTTGTGATACTACAGTGATATCAAAAAAGCAAAGAAACCAGAAATGAAATTTACCATATTAAAAAATTACATGAATACTCTAAATAGCCAAAGTTAATACTTTTCTGAGGTAGTTAAAACAAATAAGCATATCTGGAAATATAGGCATAACAACAGAAAACTTCCAAATAAAACCATATAGTACAAGTTCAGTCTTGTTTTCTTGTACTATTTTCTCTTTAACCCATCCAATATTACATTGCCCTTCAAGTTAGAGTCTTCCATCCCTTGTAGAGACTGCTGAGTCTACAGAGGGATGATGGCTTATGCTCTATGAATGCACACTGGGAAGCAGGTTTTAAGATGCAACATTCTCCAGGCCGAACTCAGCCACAGAAAACATGCCTGGCTATAGCAGAAGCCTGGCGCAATGCTGTGGAAGCTGCTCACTGATCCAAGAACCATGCTCTCGAACATGGTACTGATAATGACACTTTGAAGGTTAACTACAGCTACCACACTCTGAGAGGAATGAGTTATCTCAACAGAGAATGACAGAATTAGCAACCAAAGCAGGCATTGAGAACCTCCCCCTCTTCCGATCATGTGATTTTTCTAGAGCAATTCCTTCTTATGAAGAACAGTGCTCTCAAGATTTTATCCAATTAAATAATAGAATGGAACTTTCAGAGATAAATGAGAATGTTAGCAACTGGCCTACTTCCACTGAAATGCGCTCACATTTCTTTTAATTTTCAATCAGCGCTCAAATGTTTGACTCTTAGAAACTGCTGTATGGTTCAAGAGACAAAATAAAAGATTCAGCCATTACAGATTGCCTCAAAAAATTGAGCCATTACTCTCAAAAATCTTGGTTTTTATCATACAGGTAGACAAAGAAAGTCTTTTGAGAGCCTTGGTCTAATAATTTGGATATGAAAATCCATATCCTGATTTAAAACACTTTACATGAACAATAAGCAAACATATACTGGGGCCGATTGTTGCAAGAAGACATGACTAACACCAGTAACTCTCTTCAACCACTTACTGAGTGGTTAAAAAATACAAACTGCCATCATCTCGTTTCTCCTTGACATATGTTAAACAAACAATACCCCGAGTGCTCCTTTTATGTAAAAATAGCTATCATAAAAGCATGGTATGTAAAATGGAAAATAATTGTATGGTAGGTGAAGACTGAGTCAAAGGGCATTGAGAAAGCATCAGAGAAAGGCCACTTATCTCTATAAGGGAGACAAATATTTCCATCAGAACCAGACTTAATTGGGGTTTCCTCTGCAGAAAAATACCAAGACAGTTCCTAAAGGTCCAGATGGGTTAATGTGGCCATTCACACACCAATCTCTGCCGCATGAGAGGTTGTTTGAAGGACACAGGCAAGAGATTGAAAGCTAGAGTCCTTTTCCCATTGCCTATCAACGTCTGAAAACAACATAGTGCTTTTTTCTCCAATTGGTCCAATGCTCAGGACCTCAGATAAACACCTATTCTTTAGACTCTCCACAAAATCTTCGGAAACAAGAGTCCTTACAATAAACACGAGACCCACAACTTCTCAACTTTGTTTCATTCTATTCTGCTAAGC